GTTTACGCAGGAAACTCTGGACAATGCCTCAACCGGAAAGGTCACAGATCAGCCCCTGGGGGGAGTGGTGCCGGCGGTAGTGTTGTCATCTTTACCAAGAAACTCGTTGGAGATCCGAACCGTAAAATTTCCGTATCTGGAGGGGCTCCTGTGAAATGTGCTTTTGGAACTGGCGGTGGTAAGTAGACAACGTCCTCAGTATGTAAACCATACCGTAATATAAAAACTACTTAGTAAAGCTCAGTAAAATATATAACGACCCAAGCTTTTGAACTTTTGACGCCTTTGATAAAGCGCAGCTTCAGAAAAAAATCCCAAACTGAATGCATTCAAGGTAGTGACGAATTGAAGACGAAACCACAGACTAATAGCGATGAAATTAACCACCACAATGGCGTGTCATTTTAATGGATTACAGAGTTACACCGTTTATCTAAAAAGAAGTATCAATGACATATCAATTACGTTAAAAATCCTGACAACAGTGACAAAGGGCAAGACAAAACAATGCTGTATTCATATCGATCAACTATGAAAATGATTTTATTTTGCAGCCGGTATTGTTGATTGATTAAAAATGTTTTTCCTAGCTAGTATCAAGTTGGTATTGCTATTCTGTAAAATCAAAGAGTTAGATACATAAATAAACCAGATAATTTCTTGAAACAACAACCACCTAAAGATCACTCTCGTCCAAAAGATTGTAAGCTATAATAACACTACTTATTTTTCAGGGGGAGGTGGTGGAATTGGTCGCTGGGTGGTGCAGGAAGGTCGAGCAACCCATCAGAGCTAAATTGGTCATGGAACTTCAAGAAAGAAAACGACGCCGAGAAGCCAAGAATGCGCTAGCAAGTGTTTTTTATGCATTTCAGAATTTTTCTCTCTTTGCTGTGTTAGTGTAATGACTGAGCAATACCAGTAGGATGTAGTTGAATGAACGGAAAATAGGAAATAAAATGACAGCGATTCTGGTCAATCTTTGTGCTTGATGATACTGAGAGATTCTCTTTTACCTGTACCATGTAGTCTCAGTAAATCATTCTGAGGACTCTGCTCTCTCTCCAGTCTCTCCCGATCAGTATCATGTACTCTCAGTAAATCATTCTGAGGTCTCTGCTCTCTCTCAGTCTCTCCCGATCAGTACCATGTAGCCTCAGTAAGTCGATCTCAGGTCTCTCCTCTCTCCCCAGTCTCTTCCGATCAATAATAAATAAAATGGAAGTAACTACCACATTGACCCCAGCTGCCTACTTCCGCATGGCATTAAGACAATAAAATGATGAACGTCAAAGACAAAAGTCGACGTGGGCAAGCTTCTACGTTTTCTATCAAAAAGTGGCGCCAATTTTGGCATTCTGGCTTATGCAGAAGCCAGCGTAAGGCACTCCGAGTTATAGGGTGAACATAATTGAAGTAATGAAGGGAAAGGAGACTGGATAACAGAGACAAGTTCCTAGCAGGGTGTTAGGAAATTTGTATTCATTAGAACAAGGTTGAGAAATTGTTTATAGATTTTCTTTTTTTAAGCCGGTGGAATTTCAGTCGCTGGTTCAACTCATAAAGCAAAATCACGCACTGTTATGAATCAAGATTGCATGAAGTGCATTTTCTCAGACCCCATCGTAGTTATAGGTAATTTGATATGCTTTTACGTTTCTTGAACAGTTATCGAAAACGGAGATTTTTGGCGGCCGGAAACCGTTCAAAATTGGAGTTTTTAAAAACGCAACATTCTAGGAGAGCCTCATTTTCCACGATGTAAACAGGTGAAAACGGAAGCTTTCAAAAACGGCGACACGAAAAGCGTCACTTTCAGTCGATGTCATGAAGACTTACGTGTCGATTATTAGCGTAGACCGAAAAAGACATTTCAACGCACTTGCGAGGAAGGCTAAAAACGATGCAAAAACCATGGTTTTGATCCAAACATTTTGCTTATTATTAGGTTAGGCGAAGACGGATATCTCTTTTTAAAGCGCACTAGCGCTTGATGGGACCTAAATCGGCCATATTCAGAACAAACTAATTTGGTTCTATACAAGTTTTGCAAATTATCTCTGTACTTCGCAAGAACATCACTTATACCTGCAGTAGCTATGCAACTGAATTTTAAAGTGTTATGAAGGCAATACTGTAAAAAAGCACGCAAACCGGCATGTATGCCAAAAATGATGAAGAAAATTGCTCTGTGTGTTTTCCAACCCTATTCCGTTTCGCGTTTAAAAGCATCATTCGAATTCGAACAAACAATTGCAGCTTGTGAGAGACTGTGCGATTTCAATCGTAAAACAAATGTTACACTGGTGATGGAGAATTCGAAATGAAACTGACCATTTGGAGCTGAGCGTGAATATTCTACCCCAAAATTATTTCTGTTGAGCTGGAATTATTTTGTTTATTGAGTTAAATGATCTTGGCGCTTGGTACGCAGCTTTTGAACGAAAATTGCGTCAAATCTATGCGTGAACGCTCTCAACGAAACATTTTCTAGAAGTTCAACGTCAGCGACATAATTTGCTTGCACGATGGCACTATGATGGAAATTAAAAAAAAACTCAACAGTAGTTGTTTCAAGGCAACCTGCTGTATTCCCAGGAATGATATTTGCTTCATAATCCATAGTGTCCACATGATCGAAATTAGCTTTCAGGTCGTAATGTAAAAAAAACACACATTTGTTTGGAGAACTTATTTCCACTCTTGTCGCACCTATGTAAAGTCTGGTGAAAAAAAAAATACAGCTAAAGAAAATACATTCATGCATCATTTGTAGCGCTCCCTGAAATAAGTTTTTTAAAA